AAAAAAAAAAGAAAGATCACAATTTAGAAAGACAATCATAGGCAAATTTTATCACAAATTTATGGATGGATGATCACCAAACTTGGTTCCTATCATTTTTACTATAAAGAAAGAAAAAACAATCAAGAAACTTTATAATTAAAGAGGCATAGACTTGTCTTACTACAAGTTTATTTGATAAATTCTCTATAATCACTGAAAAACAGTTGTTTCTGGTGAGCAATTCAGGGCATTCATGGCGCTCTTGTTTTAAGATGCTTTCGGCTATAATGTAATATTTTATCATTGATTTAAAGAGATATATTTTTACAACTTAAACTGTAAAACAAAATTCTGTGTCAAAGCAATGGGTATTAACATTTATTTTCTATAAATTCAGGCAAATGATTTCACTTGATTTATTTTAATTTGAATGGGACATATTAAAATTGTCAGTAACAGCAGGCAAGTATTCCATCAAATTGATGAAACAATATATACAAACATGTGGAGACTGAGTAAAATAAATATGAATCAGATTCAATGTATTTACTGAACTCTGTCCAAAGTCATCTTGGTCCTTTTTCAAACTGCCAACTAAAATAATTATTTTTTTTGTTGGCCAATGTTAATATAATAGTTTAACCTTTTTGGAAATTAAATCATTCTTTACTGAGAAATGTCCTCTGTCATCCAAGCTGTAGTGATGGAAGAGGGGCAGTGTAGGAATAAAGCTGAAGGCTGAGCATTTATAGATAGCATGCTATCCTATCGCTTCGAATCCACAACGCCACTTCGAATCTTAAAAGGAAAGACTATTTTGTGCTTGAAACAATGTCAGCCCCAGAAAATCATAATTCAAAGTGCAAAATTTTTTTTGAAGTACATAAAAAAAAAACATGGGAGGGATAAGAAAAAACAAAAAGCTATTTACTTATATAAACAAGAGGGGGAAGGGAGGGGTCTATAGTATAGTATATTATGTGCTCAGTCCTGGCTTTATTATGCCCCCCTTCGAAGAAGAGGGGGTATATTGTTTTGCTAATGTCGGTCTGTCTGTCGGTCTGTCCATTGGTAGACCACATGGTTTCCGCTGATTATCTTAAAAACTATTTATCATAAGTCTTCATATTTCACATAGTGATTGGTCATAAGTAGTAAATGACCCATATTGATTTTGGGGTCACTAGACAGGGCCCTCGATCAACCAAATCTGCGGCCGATTATCGGCCGCAGTCCCCCACCAAAATAGTATGTTTTTTTCCCCCTAACAGAGGTAAAAATTCCCCCTCAAAACATATAAAGTGTTAAAGAAAAAAAAAAGAAAACTAATGTTGTTTTTGAAAATTAAAATCCATCTATTTGACGGCTATTTTGTAAGCGGAATATCGTACAGTACATGTCTGCACGTTTCCGTTTGTTTTTTCCCCCAAAATCTACCGTCACATACATATTGGCCTTTCATCCTGTAAAAATGCTAAAATTTCAACAGAAATATGCAGAAAAAATCACAATACCCATCAACAAATCGATTTCAAATTGTTTATTCATGAAATCATTTTTTTTTGTCTTCAAAATGTTACATCAACCACGGTAAATTTTGCCGTAAATTACAAACTTGTAAGTTTTGTTTTCATGATAATTTATGAAAAAACTGATGAAAAACGATCTTATAATTAACAATCAATTTAATTTTATATAATTTACATCAGAAACAACTAGAATTGTGGATGTGTAAACAGAAAACAAACAAATTTTCATTTGTCACATATTTTCGCGATGCCAATTTTTACTATTGTTTTACAAAGTCAAGAAAAGGAAGCTTTGTCTTATTAAAAGGTGTGTTAGATCACTAGAAATGTAGTTTATTAATATGAATAGAATTTACTTTAGGTCCATGTATTGTTCATATTAGTGGAAATGTAGACATTTGTCTGAATGTGTTTCTCAATGCTTATTTGGGAGGGGGGGGGGGGGGGTGAATCATAAAGAAAGCTAAGCAGCATAAAGATCTGATGGTGTAAGATGTTAAAAACTTTTCTTCAAATCTTATCAATCACTTCTGAACAGTTTAGTGTTACCTATTTGGGATTTAAAAAAAAATATGCATGTAAATAAAAAACAGCTTATATTTAAATAAGTTTATTTGATATTTGATCATAAAAGAAAAAAGGAAAATTCCCCCCATACACTAAAATTCCCCCTGCTGAGGGTAACGACCCGCTTCCCTCAAATTGGATTGAGGACCCTGCTAGATCAAAGGTCAAAGTCACAGGGGCCTAAATTAATGTCAGAATGGTTGCCACTGATTATATTGAAAAGTATTCATCACAAAGTCTTCATATTTCACATAGTAATTGGTCATAACTAGTTAATGACTCCTTTTGATTTTTGGGTCAATAGGTCATGGGTCAAGGTCACAGGGGCCTTAAATATCTGAATGGTTTCCACTGCTTACCTTCAAAAGTATTCATCACAAAGTCTTCATATTTCACATAGTAATTGGTCATAACTAGTAGATGACTCCTAGTGATTTTGGGGTTACTAGGTCAAAGGTCAAGGTCACGGGGGCTTTAAATGTCAGACTGGTTTCCGCTTATTATCTTGGTTACAATTCATAACAAAGTCTTCATATTTCACATATTGATTGACCATAACTAGTAGATGACCCCTATTGATTTTGGGACACCAGGTCAAAGGTCAAGGTCACAGGATCCTTGAATGCTAGTATGGTTTCCGCTCATTATCTTGAAAGCTATTTATCACAAAGTCTTCATATTTCTAATATTTATTAGATGACCCCTATTGATTTTGGGTCACTAGGTCACAGGGGTCTTAAATGTCAGAATGGTTTCTGCACATTGTCTTGAAAACTATTGATCACAAAGTCTTCATTTTTTTCTTTTTTCCATAATTGAACACTTCCTTGTACCCATTATGGCAAGTTTCTATAAGAAAATTACCAATAATGTGAGTCAAGGGCTAGAAAGGGGGGCATATGTTTCGTTAGACATTGCTTGATCTAATACTGCTCCTAATCCATCACTTTGAATTGTACAACATTGTTTATTACAACCAATGCATACAGTAATATGTTATTATTCAAAGCTTAAAAAAATACATTAAAATTGACAATAAAATGTGTGAAAATATCATTCTGTCTGATATCATACTGGGATGATCAGCAAATTTGTATTTGGATATCGTGAAATTCAGTTTGATTGGGAATTTTTTTTTTAAAGATTAGAAAAAAATAAGCCATTTGAATGGGTCTGGTAATCTGACGCTTTCGAGAATTGGGAAAAGGCTGCCTTGTTAACGTTATTATGGTTGCAGCTAGTGGTAGTGAATAAGAGATTAATAAACGGCAGGGTAGGGCTGAAGGGTGATAACTAGCCCGCAAAATGAATAATGGCCCTGAGGGCATTTTTATTTCAGGGCCGATTATCACCTTCGGGCCCATCTACTAATACACTTGATAGATCTAAAATTTACTTTGATATTTCTTTCATTGAAATTTCTATCTTTGTAGATTTAAACTGTACTATACAGGAACTTCTACAGAGTTGCTTCCCTTATGTGTATGCAACATAATCTAGAAGCATGATTTATTTTCACGGAATGAAATTGTAGCTAGTATTTAAAAAAAAAAAATCCAATAAAGCTGTGTTTGTAGAAATTACACTTATAAATTAGGCTTTTTGTGCTTCATATCCAACTTTCACTTTTACAACTACCTGTTTTGATGACGTAAAATGTGACGTCATTGTTTCAGTTTGTGCACGTACATGTGTTCAGCGGGTCGTCATACGGCTTGGGCCGCAAGCTGATAATTGGTCAAGTGACACTCAAATTCAGTTGAAATCATAAGCAATTTTGTTACTATATATAGTTATAGGTGTATTAATCACCTTTCATGATTTAGGGCCATCTGATAGCCCTTTTGTTAGCTCGACTTTTCTATGAAAAGGGGAGCTATCCTACTCGCCCCGGCGTCGGCGTCGGCGTCGGCGTCGGCGTCGGCGTTAGCGTTGGCGTCACACCTTGGTTAAGTTTTTCGTACCACCCCACTTTATTTCAGAAGTATTACAAGTATGGCTTTGAAACTTACCATACTTGTTCACCATCATAACCTCCATCTACAGACAGGAGTACATAACTCTGTCAAGGTTTTTGACAGAATTATGGCCCTTTTTTGACTTAGAAAGTGTATTGAGCTTGGTTAAGTTTTTTGTACCACCTCACTTTATTTCAAAACCATTGGAGGTATTGCTTTGAAACTGACCATACTTGTTTACCATCACGACCTTCATCAACAGACAAGAGGACATAACTCTGTCAAGGTTTTTGACAGAATTAGGCCCTTTTTGACTTAGAAAATACATTGAATATGGGTAAAATCCACTTATTGCCTTAACCCTTTGAGATATTGCTTTGAAACTTTTAATGCTATTTCACATCATTACCCCCATCTGTACGCAAGAGAAGGTAACTCTGTCAGGGATTTGTTTTAAAAATTAAGGCCTTTTATCGACTTAGAATCTTGGTTAACTTTTTTGTACCAGTCAACTTTTTGACTGAACTGGTTGAGATATTAAATTGAAAGTTGGAATACTTGTTTACCATCATGGTCCCAAAACATGGGCAGGAGAAGGTAATTCTGTTAAGGATTTTATTTGAATTATGGCCCTTTTTGACTTAGAAACTCAGTTAAAATTTTCATTCTTGTCCACTTGTTGACTTAACCATTTGAGATATTACTTTGGAAGTTGGAGTTCTTATGTGCCATCATGAGACCTATCTGTAAGCAAGAGAAGATAACTCTGTGAAAATGTTTCTTGATTTGTACTTAGAAATTCCTAGTTAAAGTCTTGTGTGCCCTTAACTGTCAAAGTTTTGTTTTATAGGCAAGCACTAAAAAAGTCGAGCGCGCTGTCCTTCTGACAGCTCTTGTTTAGAAATCTTATATTTCATTCGGGTCGAGAGATGTAAAGCCATAACTGCCTCTTGTTCCATTTTAGTACCTTCTCGCCATGGTCTTTGCTTACTTCAAGAGAGCTGGTTATGAAATAAGAGAGTACACACGGATGAATTTCTTTGTAGCACTGTAAGTTTTTATTTTTTACTTTTTCATGCCCCCGCTATTAAAAGGCAAAGGTTCATATACATGTATATGTGTAAGCGTTTATTAGTTTGTGTGTGTGCACAAAATTATTTACTTTGTGTACAGGTCATAATATCAATATGCATGACTGTATTTCTAAATACCTTTTATATGCCCGAAAGAATTTCAGACATATTATGTTATACCCCCTGGCGTCCGTCCATCCTTCCGCACTACCAAATAGGGATAGGGGGCCATCTAGCTGTAAACAGAACAAAAGAGATAAATAGAATTCAATTTCGATAACAATAGAATAAGGGGGCATGGCCCTCTTTTAAACAAAAGAAAATAACAATAGAGAGCTTCGGTCAGATGTCCGTCCGTCTGTCTGTTAGCAATTTGGTTTCTGGAGCATAACTTAAGTTCCATTTGGCCCACAATATTCAAACTTCATAGGATGATTGCCCATATTGAGTAGAATACCCCTATTGATTTTTGGGTTTCAAGGTCAAAGGTCAAGGTCACTATTACCTTAAAACTGAAAACAGTTTCCGCTCAATAACTTAAGTATCAATCAACCTACAGCTGTAAAATTTTATAGCATGGACAGCCATGTGCAATACATGACCCCTATTGATTTTAGGGTCATAAGTTCAAAGGTCAGGGTCACAGTGATCTTTACACTGAAAATTGTCGTTTCTGGAGCATAACTTAAGTTCCATTTGGCCCACAGTGTTCAAACTTCATAAAATGATTGTCAATATTTATATTGAGTAGAAGACTCCTATTAATTTTTGGGTTGCAAGGTCAAAGGTCAAGAGCACTATTACCTTAAAACTGAAAACAGTTTTCGCTCAATAACATAAGTATTTATCAACCTAAAGCTGTAAAATTTTATAGGATGAACAGCCATGTCTAATATATGACCCCTATTTATTATAGGGGCATAAGGTCAAAAGTCAGGGCCACAATGACCTTAACACTGAAATTTGTGGTTTCTAGGGCATAACACAAGTTCCATTTGGCTTAAAGTGTTCAAACTTCATAGGATGATTGCCTATATTGAATAAAAGATCCATATCTTTATTGGAGTCACAAGGTCAAAAGTCAATATCAAATGACCTTAATATTGTTAACAGTTTTACAACTAGTGATGAAAATCAGATGAAATTTCTCCCAATCGATTATCGGTTCAATCGGATGGAATATAATTGATAACTTTCTGATTATTAATCACCTGCACTAGAAAGTAGAGGAGGAACATTTTTCCAAAGTCGTTAATTATATTTTGTACCATTAGCTTCATTAAGCACTTTTCAACATAGTTTTAACTTTATACAAATGTTATACTTAGTTCTTAAGCTTCTGGACATTATTGCTTGAAAAGGGAAATTTAAAGAAATTCATATATAAACCTGAGTAAAAGTCCAGATATTCCAGGTAGGTACAGTACCCTGGACTGACAGACAAAACATGATCACAATTAAACTAACCTTGAACTAACTTAGCTATAAATTAAACAAGTCTCTTCTTTGTTATATGCAATCAGATTTCTTAGTGTTAAGTACAATTCATTAACTTTTCACTAAAAATTGAAAGTAAAAAGTAACAGTTGAACAATGAACATGTGACTTGAAAACTACTCGAAACTTCAAAAATGACTAGAATCTTAGAAAGTTATTCAATTACCACCATATTTGAATTCTGATAATTGTCTCATTGAATCTAACTTCTCTTATTACACTACCAATAAAATTTTCTGTTCACATTCATGAAAATAAATTTGTTAACATTTTCAGGATTTAGTTTGTTCCTCTTTTTTGTAACAATATTACCTGCCAAACTAAAAACACGTTCTGATGGAACAGAACTTGCTGGTACAGCAAGGACTGTTTTAGCAACATGAGAAAGTCAAGGAAATTGGTATTCATTTTCTTTCCACCACTCTAACAATGTAAGACTTTTATCTGATTCTTTCTGCGCAATATCAAAGTATTTGTTTATCTCTGACTTGACTAACACAACTTTGAGAATTGTCGATTCTCCAGTGATCATTCAAACATCATCTAACCACTCAACAGAATCAGAACACTGTATCTTAGCCCGCTTGGATTCTGGCTCTTGTACTTCATCAACCTGGACAACATTATCAAGTGTGTCTGGTAGAAAGGGTAACTGTGGTAATGCTGTTTCCTGGTTTGTTTAATCTAGTTCTACTTCATTCTTCACCTTTACTGTCAGCATCTCTGCCTTTTTCTTAAGCAGTTGTCGCCCCCTTTCTCGCTCTTCCACAGACAAGAATTAAGATGTTTTGTATCTGGGTTAAGTATGGCAGCAAGTAGTGGTAGATCTTCTGTCTGAGTTCTGTTTTTTCTAGCTCCTGTATCATGGTGTTTTTCATGTTTTTGATGAGTTCATTGTCATTTTCATTTGGCTGTACAACAAATATAAGCTTTTTAATTACTGGACGGACATGTTGCATAGTAGGCGATGACTGTGAACAGAGAATTACTGTTGCCGTTTCAAAAGGTTTGAGAATATTAATAACGCATTCCAGAACTGATATATCTTCAAAGCTGTAACTGTTTGCCTTTATTACTTGAGATGCATGTTAAGACAAATTTGGGTCATTTGCCATGTTAACAATGTAAGGGGTTTCTGTCATCAAACGCTGTAACATAGATAATGTGTTATTCCATCTTGTAGGACAGTCCATGACTAACCAATTATCTTTTCGCTCTGGGTTTAATAACTTTTGTTTTCCCACAATCAAGTCAGTAGCAGAAGATGATTTATTATCCACCGCCGAAAAATTTTGGCGGAGGATATAGAAATAGTCTCCGTCCGTCCGTCCGACCTTCCGTCCGTCCGTCCTTCCGTCCGACATTTTTGTCCGGAGCATATCTCTAAAAGTATTTGAGTTATCAACTTGAAACTTCATAGGTGGATAGACCTCATTGAGGAGGAGTGCAGTGCACAAGAATGATAACTCTACCTTGCATGATTTTTGAGTTATTGCCCTTTGTTATTTTTCAAAATTAATTTTTGTCCAGAGCATAACTCAAAAAGCCTTTGAGATATCAAAATGAAACTTCATAGGTGCATAGATCTCTGACTCAGGAGGTGTGCACTGCACAAGAATGATAACTCTACCTTTTATAATTTTTGAGTTATTGCCCTTTGTTCTTTTTCATACTTTAATTTTTTCTCAAAAAGTATTTGAGGTATCAACTTGAAACTTCATAGGTGGATAGATTTTACTGAGGAGGGATGCAGCACACAATAATGATAACCTACCCTGCATTATTTTTCAGTAATTGCCCTTTGTTATTTTCAGCCATCAGTATTCACATAGGTTTCAAATCTGTAATCACTATAGCCATCAGTTTTCATTACCAAAAGACCTCTTAAAATAGAATTATTCCGCTCTACTACATATACATTCTTCCAATGAGCAAACACATTCGGCGGGGGATGGCCATGTTGACATGGCTCTTGTTGAAAAAAGAAACAAGAGTCCTTCCTTTTGTCAAATTTTGTCAAATTCCATTTCTGGAATTTATTGCTTTTTTAACAACAAGATTGATCCTATGACCAAAGCATCCAAAGCGCATAAAACCCAACAGACAGACTGTAAGCTTTCTGTTCATTGGCAACATTGTCGGTTGTCATGGCTGAAGGGCGACCTAAGTTCCATTCATCTAGAGTTGACTAAATATTTGCTGTGATGTTTTCCCCTGTATGCATTCCTTCTACCTGCAATACAACAAAAGTTAATACTGAGTTATTTTTTTACATGATACATGATACAGTGTTTAGTAACATCTGCAGCTAAAAATGGCAGGACAGATGTTTCTAAATCAAAGTTTCAGACACATGTGTAAACCAGACATGTAAGAATGGAAATTTTTTCGCAAATATAAATAAATTATATCCAGCATGTTTATTTTTTGATAATGAGCATGATGAGTAAAATATTTTTACTTATTCTAAAAGTGATGTGTTTGTAAAAGAGATGTTATTGATTAAGAACCTGCTTTAACAGTTCCAAGAACAGCATGTTTTAACTCCCAGTCTGTTTGGATCATGTGGCATGTCCCAGTGTCATAACCCAGCAAACACAAGACATCATACTGACGTCAGATTTAAGGTATTAGGACCCTAATGGGCACTATCAGAAGCTAAAAAATTGACATCATAGGTCAGATGTATACCTTAAAGTACACCTGTATGCAAAATTTAAACAAAGTTTACCTACGGAAATCAAGTTATGGCCACTTTTCTGAACTCAAGCTAGGATGTTATGAGGGCCCTTTTTTAAAAATGCGGAACCTTTAAAATAATCTGCAATAACATTCTAATGAAAAATGTTTTCCCATTAATTTTTGGTAAGAAACAAAAAGTACCATTCAGCTAACAATCCACATAAGCAAAATTATGGTTTCTACTTAAAATTTATGAAATCTGTATAAAAATGTTACCCTACCCCACCCATTTTTACCACGTGTCTGACCATTTTCTACTTAGGGAGCCTAATTAAAAAAATTCTTAAAATTTGCCCAAATGAGTGCCTGTTTTCAAAGTTTCCCTAAATTTTTAAAAAGGTATATTGGTTGATCTTGTAAAATATGAAATACTTTTACCGTCTAGTTTTGATTATATTACACTTTGAAAATATCAGGTACCATATTTATTACTAGATTTAGCATAATTTAGCCAATAAATACCTATATAAATTAAAAAATCAAAATTAAACACTTTTTTCTTTCCAAATGGGACGTGAGAGATACATAAATAATGTTAAAAGAAAAAGAGAAAGAAAAAAAAGTTGACCCTTTTGGGGATTGAACCCATGGCCCTCATTTTCAATGTAGTTAACAGTAGTTCTAGCCTATTTGAATACTCTTCAAAGCGGAGGTAATGCATTAGGATGCTAATACCTTAAGTCAGGTTCTGACGTCGGATGACGGTCGGAAAAACGGTTGGATTTGAAAGTTTTTTTGACGTAATATTATCTGATGTCAGGTAGACGTCAGAATCTAACCATTATCTAACCTTTTTCTGACCAAAATCTGACCATTATCTAACCATTTTCCGACCTCAATCTGACCATTTTCCGACTTTAATCTGACTATTTTCTGACCTTAAACCTAACCAGTTTCTAACCATTTTCCGACCTCAATCTGACCATTTTCCGACCTAAATCTTAACCCTTTTCTGCCCTAAATCTGACCATTTTCTGACCTTAATCTGATCATTCCCCTAATCCTTCTTGTTTTACCACGTTATAAATATTTTCTGGCTAATCCTGATTTGATTGAATTTAATGTAACTCATTCTATTAAGTAACTTTCACTCCAATGAAATGTATAACAAAAAATAAAAGCAAAAATATGTTTTTATGGGGTTTTTTTTATTTAAAATAAAAGTTCCAATTTTAAGCTGATACATACAATTTTAGTAAATTCTGCAAGGCTAAATACTTTTCAAAAATTAAACAAAATAAAAACATAAAATAAGTTAATAACAAAACAAAAAGTATTACAAAAACAATGACATAAATGAAACTAAGAAACATGTACAAATATTAAAGAACAAAGCAATGTATGTACATTTCTATCAAAGTTTGCCTTATCAAACAAAATAATGAAAATATTATAATTTTAAGAAAAGTTAAAAGATTCGGATAATAATGTTTCAAGCAATTAATGACAGATTTTCGGTATTTTAAATTTATTTCTACAGCATTACTTAAACATTTACTGCCATTTTGCATATTTTGACCTCCTTTTAATAATTGTCACTAAGATATAAATTACTTCCTTTTATTTACTTCACAAAGTTACACTTTTAAATATCCATGAGAATTAGCACAAATTTGGAGATGTGATGCTTTTAGATATGACCTTCTCTTACCACCCCTCGTCTGTCCGGAGGATATGTTAATGTCCAATAGCGTTTGTGATATCATTTTCACTGAAAAAAAAAGAAATTTATGAAAAATGGAAAAATAACAAGCAAAAATGTTTTTCATGGTTATCTGCCCTTTAGAAATTTTGAAAGTTATCTTAACTTAATGAACAATTTTGCTAGCTTTTTATAAGAGAGCTTTAACAAAAATTAAAAGTAAACATAAATACTGAAAATTTAAAAGGCCGCTTTAAAACTCCAGTTTAGTATGGATTATAGTATGTAATAGAATTTACAAAAATCTTACTTTCCCATGTTTCTTTTTACATTATCACGTGTTTCTGTCCCTCTGACCTTTGAGAGCATGTCCAACACTTGAACTACCTGAAAAGAAAATTATATTCTAACTTATGTATATTCTACTTTTGAAATGAACAGTTACGCAAGTCTTAAATTTTTCATAGTTTCAAATTAAAGATTGTTAAGAAATTGTTGATAATAAATGTATGTTTATGAACTAAGTTTTGATAAAAAGTTTATATTCTGTTTTGATTACATTTTTCCTACTAATAAATGATTAAATGAAGCGTCATTCTACTGCAGTATAGGCCTATTACAAAATCATAATTAGATAATAAAATTAATAAATCCGCTTTTTCATTTATTTCCCGTTCATTTATTAGAATGATATTAAAAAAATCTGGTGTAAACACATTAAGGTACGATTTATTCTGATCAAAAATTGGGCCAATTGGGAAAATGCCGAAATGTCTGGGACGAAAACGTCTTGGGTTATTTGGGACGTCCGAAATGCTCGTAATCGTACAAATTCATTCTCAATTCTCCGATTTTAACTGACAAAACATCACAGTTTAAGAAAAATATGAAAACTAAGCATTCTCTTTGGTAGTACTGAAAGGCACATTATAAACTCTTCACAAGCAGAGTCAAATTTGAAAAGATTTATTATCAGGCATTATCGCGAAATTGTGTGACATTTTGCTTCAACTGTTCAAATAATGAAAATTAAATTTAAGAATGTTTGCAATCATGCAATTATTTATCAAAGTAGAAATAAATTTAGATAAATTGAACTGACCTTTTTGTTCAAGAAATTCTAGAATATTCACTTTATCAATGCATCCAGATTCCTGACCGACAGCCAAAACATAACGCCTACGAATTTAAATTTCCATCCACGTGGCTGTAGATTCGAATTATAGGTAATTATGTTTTCTTTCCCTTTTCTGTCACTATGATTAAATGTTAAAGCACTATAAAAAAACTCGTGATTTTGATACATATAATGTACCACAAATGATAATATTATAACGTTAAATGATTGGAACTCGTAAACAGATCTATGGCTATAAATAGATTTCATAACAATAACACATGTAACTTGTCTATATAGAGCTCCACCTATATGTTTTATTAGGATGCAGCGCTGCGTTCTTGGTCTGTATATAATTATATACACTTCATTTGTAAGCCAAATAACGTTTGAAAAAAAGTTTAAATGATTACAACAGCGAAAAAGGATTATTTTTTTGTTATTTTTTTACCTACCGTCAGGACACCGACCAGAACCTGACGTTAGTACGACGTCAAAAAAAACCGTCTATTAGACATCGGTTTTTTAACGTCAGACTTACGTTGTATTTTGGTCACCGACGTCATGACTAGGGCTGTAACAATACGGTAAAAAGCGTATTGCAATATATTGCAATACGCAACATCCGTATTGCAATATATTGCGATACGTATTGTTTTTTTATCTTGGGTACTGGGAAATAATTCAGAAAAAGAGACTTGTTTATAATTTCAACAAATATTATATATATCTATATCTCTCACAAAACAGAATTAGTGGATACTTTCCTTTAACAAAAAATTAAACTGTTTCAACTATTGAAGCATCAACTATGAGTAACAGCAAAATAAAACTTTAAACACTTTTCATTCAGTAACTAACAATCTAAACTATATCCTAATGATTTTCTTAACACAGTTTCAGACTAGGACTAGATCACAGACTTAATCAAACCGAGTCTGCAATTCTCTTGTTATCTTGTTGTGATTAATGCTTCTGAGGGATCACTTTGTTTCCAGATTTTTATACTTCACAACAGCAGGTGTCAAGTGCTGTGTGGCAGCTGTAAAAAGTTGCCCCGTACTTCACTTCAGTGTTGTTATATTTTTCTGGTCCTTCGGGATCATTGATGCCAGCACTATTAAGTGTTGAGAATTGAGTACCGCTCAAGCCGGTGCTAGGGGGCGTGAGGGATGTTGCACATATTCATTATCCCTCATGTACAGACTCAATCAAACCGAGTCTGCAATTCTCTTGTTATCTTGTTGTGATTAATGCTTCTGAGGGATCACTTTGTTTCCAGATTTTGAGTGACGGTGGCAATTAATCCATGTTTTTCTTTAGAAAAATTATTAACATGTCTACTTTGTCAGCATCTAGTATTCAATAATTTCATGGGTCTCTCTTTTCCTTGTAATTTATTTTTTTATCAGATCGTAATTATTTCCGTCTGCCATAGTAAATCACCGATTTTTCAAGCATTTGTCTACCCGCGCACCGTGTAATTTTTTTACCCTAACACCATTTTTTTTACACGCTTCCTACTTTCGGTTTGTTATTTTCTTTTGTGCATAGGACATTTTCATATCATTTATTTATCAAGAAAATTATGGAAGACTTTCTTTTATTTATAGAGAAAATTATTGTACACTGTTATTACTAAAAAAAACCAGTACAACTAAATGTGAACCGCGGTACAATATTTATTTATCCTGCACCGCAATATATCGGTGTACCGGTAAACCGTTACAGCCCTAGTCGTGACCAAAATCTAACGTTATTTTAACGTCATGTGTTTGCTGGGAATTCTGTGTTGAGTTGCTAGTCCATCCATCATGGGTAAGAGCTACTGATTTGCACAGTGAGAGATCATTTTTCACAATCAATCTGAGAAGGAGGTCATTTAAACAAGATGAGGCAAATATTGTCTAGTTACAGCTGTTAGTATTTTAGGCTGCAACATGTTATGTTTGTCTCTTACAGGTTCATCTGCTTGTGGGATCAGCTCTTTATGCTCATGTTTTATGTGGAATACCAGATTAGAATTTTGGCCTGAAATAGAAAACATAACAGAATATTAACATTGCTATCAATAACAGTTAATATAGTTAATACATGTACTTCTCCAATTCACTGTACATGTTCTGTTACTAGTAACTTCCTCATTTCCTAAGCAGTCTTGCGGGGGTATTAATCACATTTAGTGAAATTCTAGTTAATTTTACTAGATTATTATGTTCCCCGAAAAATTCCGGAGGAGCATATAGTCGCCGGGTCGTCCGTCCGTCTGTCCGTATGTCCCGAATTTGTATCATATATATCATGAATGGCCTATAACTTGTTTATTTGAAGTCGGATTTTACAATTATTTCACAGAAATGATCATCATATTGAGACGATGTGTTGCACTCATCATTTGGGTCCCTACCTTGAAGGTCATAACTTCCTTATTTGAAGTCGGATTTTACAACTATTTCACAGAAATGATCACAATATTGAGACCACATGTCGCGCACAATATTTGGGTCGCTACCTTGAAGGTCAAGGTCACAGCATGACCCTGCAGCAAAATCGTGTCCGGCCAATAACTTCCTTATTTGAAGTCCGATCTTACGAATGCATCTTACGAATGCCAGACAAAATCCCCTTCGGACATAATCCCCTTCATGTATTTTTGTATATCTGGACATAATCCCCTCCATGGGTGGACATAATCCCCTTTAAGTATGAAATTTTGCAGTGGACAAAATTCCCTCAATAAAATTGCTACCTAGGACAAAATCCCCCTCAGATGAATTTTCTGTTTATAAAGAGGGTATGAGAGCGACATACTGCATTATGCTGTGTGGTGATTACTAGTACTTTACTTGGGAATATTGGTTCAACATCAGTTCTATACTGCTAAGGCCTGTGCTAGATGGACAATGTCTCTTTTTTAGCATTCCCATTGTATAGTTGACTGATGCATTTTTCTTTGTGTATAAAGTATAACCTTCGAAACACAGCTTTTCAGAGCCTTTGACTTCCATTTTGGTAATGAAGATGCATAACCAAAGTCACCCATTTATACATTTTTTTTGTGCCCCCACATTAGTGGCGGGCATTTAGATTTACCCTTGTCCGTCCGTCCGTCTGTCCGTCCGTCCTTCCGTCCGTTCACTTTTGTGTCGCACGTAACTCAAAAAGTATTTGACCTAGAGTCATGAAACTTTACAGGAATGTTGATCAGCATGTGTAGTTGTGCACCTGGGTATTTTTGTCTGGATATATTTAGTATTTTCAGAGTTATTGCCCTTGACTTAGTAAAATTTTGCAATTTTCAACTTGTGTCGCATGTAACTCAAAAAGTATTTGACCTAGAGTCATGAAACTTTACAGGAATGTTGATCAGCATGTGTTGTTGTGCACCTGGGTATTTTTGTCTGGATATATTTAGTATTTTCAGAGTTATTGCCCTTGACTTAGTAAAATTTTGCAATTTTCAACTTGTGTCGCATGTAACTCAAAAAGTATTTGACCTAGAGTCATGAAACTTTACAGGAATGTTGATCAGCATGTGTAGTTATGCACCTGGGTATTTTCGTGTGGATATTTTTAGTATTTTCAGAGTTACTGCCCTTGACTTAGTAAAATTTTGCAATTTTCAACTTGTGTCGCATGTAACTCTAAAAGTATTTGACCTAGAGTCATGAAACTTTACAGGAATGTTGATCAGCATGTGTAGTTGTGCACCTGGGTATTTTCGTCTGGATATTTTTAGTATTTTCAGAGTTATTGCCCTTGACTTAGTAAAATTTTGCAATTTTCAACATGTGTCGCACGTAACTGAAAAAGTATTTGACCTAGAGTCATGTAACTTTACAGGAATATTGATCAGCATGTGCAGTTGTGCACCAGGTATTTTCGTCTTGATTTATTTAGTATTTTTAGAGTTATTGCCCTTCACTTAGAAAATTTTGCAATTTTCAACTTGTGTCGCAAGTTACTCAAAAAGGATTTGACATAGTCATTAAACCTTATGGGCAGGTTGCTCAGCATATTTAGATTTGCACCTGGGGTTTCGCTTGTGGATTTATCCAGTATTTGTAGAGTTATTTCCCTTGACTTAGTAAAAAGATTGACAGAACAGTGGCGCGGTGGGGGCATCCGTGTCCTATGGACATATTTCTAGTTTAAAATTCACTCTTACTTGAGTCATCATTTTAAACAACACTGTTAAACTAATTAAAATGTTTTTCATAATAATCAATTTAAAACAATTTAAGAATTTGACTTATGAAATATATATTTGTTATGCAGTTGATAATTTACCACAATTATAATGAACACTGCTAAACTAATTGAATTGTTTTTGTTAATGACAATTTGGTTGATAATTGATCTGAACAAATAAAAAATCAAAGTGCTGAAAGCACTGATGGGGGCGCAATATGTTGCATACAAAATTTCGAGATTTGTAGAGCAATCTACTTCAGGTGTTCCAAGCTGATATCATTCTTCTTTTAAAGAAGAAAAAGTGCCCATATGGTATACAATATAAAAGTATTGCCTCCAAACTCTTGTCAAAATTGAAAATCATGTACCAAGAACATACTAACAAACCCAGGCAAAATGCATAATTGTATCATATATATCATGAATAAACATTTTAAAATATGACATTGGAATTTCTTGGGAAACTATAGTTGTTTAACCAATTTTCATGTAAAGGACTTCCTTATGTGAGTGAATAACAAATAAATCAGTGTATTTACTATATTTATTCCAAGAATAGAAAATAAACAGAAATTTTAACTGTCTATAAAATATTTCTAAAATAAAACCAGGACTGTAAGAACAAACTTATTTTTTGTAGAAACCTTTCAAGCACAATACAAAATACATGTGAGAATGTAAATTGGAATGGATACATATAATGTAGTTGGCATTGAAAACAAGAGCCACTATCTAGCTTGGGCCATGCTCGGCTTTTTCTTATAATGAAAGTCAAACACATCAGTAGGAAAATATTGTAATATCAATTAGAGTACTTCTAGAAAATATAATATAAATGTATGAAGTAAATTTCAAATTTGAATGTCAACACATTTAAGTTGAATGATAAGTGTTCTTTTGTCCAAAAATGAATCAAATCATAGACAAAAACAAAGTTATGACAATGTGAGCGAATTTCAATTGTTTAACCTTGGAGGTAATGGTCATTTAAAGGTCAAAAGTTATATCAGAAAAATTCAACATGTTGGTTTTTGTGTTGGTTTATCCAAGCATGAATCAAATCTGTAAAAAAATAACAAAGTAATGATAATTCCAGCTAACTCTAAAGATTTTTTTAAATCAAATAAAGGTCAATGCCATATATGAACTTGAAGGGCTTTTGTCACAAAAACACATGTCTCCTAAAATTGTGTATGGTTCTGATCACTCCTTTGAATTTTGGTGGTTTAACATGTGATAGATTTTTCTATTTTTAACTCTGGGGGCCTTTTTGTGCAGTGAAAAGGAACATGCCGGCAATGTGCACAACTAGGGATGGCACTGTACACTCCTGTGAAGTTTCATTGAAATCTAACTAACAGTTTAAACATTACTTTTGTACTTTTATATTAGTTAAAGATAGAAAACATTATCAATTTTAAACCTATACTTATTATAGGTATTTATTGCATTCATTATTTAAAATTAAATGAAAGAGCATGGAACAAAATATTTTTAAGATCTAGTAAAATCTAAATGTTTTTAAAATCTAGTAGAATCAAAACTATACAATAAATATATCAATAAATATACTATAAAGTACATTATAACAATACATGTATTTTGGATAATACACTCTAAGCTGAAATACTTTAAATGGGTGTGGTATTATAAATGTTTGTAAATATTGTAAGTTATCTAAACAATAAGTCTGTTCTTAATAAAAGAAACTTGCACCTTGATACTTTTCTGTACAAACCAGAACTGCCACTGTCATGGCGTGAATACCCCTGCATACCAATTTTTCAGAATCAACAGTAGTCATTTAGAGCTCAAAGACAACCTCCCAGCCAAATCTGAGGGAAGTAAGCCAGTGCATTGCTAAGTTATGTATTCTACATGTTTTAGTGGAAAAGATCAAAGTGAACTTTACTCTTGACCTACTGACCTCAAAACTGAAACTGCCATTGAATGACTTCAATAATCCACCCCCCCCATTTCATGCAGGCTTGCCTGGATGTGTTTTATGATGAATATATGAGACCATTTGAGCAGACAAGCTAATTGTAATAAAAGCCCCTGTGACCTTGACCTTTGACCCAGTGACCTCAAAATCAATAGGGGTCATCTAATAATCTTGACTAACCTCCATGCCAAATATGAAGACTGTGGGTCAAAGGATTCTTAGGTAATTGGGCGGACAAGCTTTAATTAGCCAAGGCCCTTGTGACCTTGACCTTTGACCTGGTGACCTCAAAATAAATAGGCGTCATCTACTAATCATGACTAACCTAAATGCCAAATATGAAGACTTTGGGTCAAAGGAATCTTAAGTTATTGGGCGGACAAGTTTTTTAAAGTCAAAGCCCCTGTGACCTTGACCTTTGACCTCAAAATCCATAAGGGTCATCTACTAATAATGACTAACCTCCATGCCAAAAATGAAGACTGTGGGTCAAAGGAATCTTAAGTTATTGGACGGACAAGAAAAAACGACGGACGCCCGACGGCCGGACAAGTTGATTCCAGTATACCCCCATTACAACTTTGTTGTGCGGGGGTATAACAGATTTCAAACATTGATAAGTTAGCTCATCTTCTTGGTGATGAACTGGTGCCTCTATATACAAATGTGGATCTGTCCATACATAGGTTATCTCATGTTCTTTGTGATAAACTCTCACCTTGAAGTTGATAAAGTTTTGTTCATACATATTTCAAAAATAGATAAGTGATCTTATTTTCCTGGTGAAAAACTGAAAAAATGAAAGTTATCTCATGTTTTTGGTGAAAGACTAGTGACTAGTTTTCTCCTGAATGTCATTTCTTTTTCTAATTAGATTAAGTCATGGTACTATATTCATGAGGCTTTCGACATCACATCTATGAACTCATTATCCAACATTGCAAAGGGCAGGCAGTTTCCTGGTATTCCAATTTCTTTTAAGTTTTGAAAAACCCAAATATTTCAAATTTCTCTAGTGTTTCTGACATGAGGACACATCTACATGTATCTTTCCTTATCACTCCTGCTTTCACTGTTCTATCATATAAGCGCCTCTGTTTCCTGAAATATTTGTTTAGAAAAAGTTAATTGCAAAATTAAAATTCCATTTTTTTTTATTTATTTATTTTTTATTTTTTTTTTTTTGGGGGGGGGGGGATCTGATAAGCTATAGACAGCTAAGTGAAGATAAGATGAACATATATGTCAGTGTGCTTACTGTGAATATTCAATA